TCTGTCACACAGGAATGGCAAACTACCTGCCTGGCCACACTCTTCAGCGCCCCTAGTGTTGAAGCTGATCCACACAGCTCAAGGCTCCCACATAGCTCCCACTGTTCACACTGACCATCTGGTGTACACCCAAGGCCCTCCAGTAATTAAAGATGCTCCTGTCGGGATGGGGATTCTAAGGTCTAACTTGAAGACTGCTTCCCAGGAGCCAGGCAAGGATTAAACACTTTTTTTTTCCATGTGCAAAGTTCATCCTTCATTCCATTTGTTGTTGTTTGCCATGGAATTAGTCAGAGCACAATGAAACATCGCCCCCTCCTTACCAGCTTCACAACATGCTCGCTGGCTTTGAATCCAGGGTTGTAGGAACCCATCCCGTGGAGGGCGTCTCTCACCTTCACCCACCCTCTGCTGACCGCATGCTCCCCGACAAACCGGGAGAAATAAACATCAGAAAGGGGCGCTCGATCACGACCACCCTGAAGGTACAGAGTAGAAACCAGTTCACATCCACAAAGACAAGCCCACGAGAAAATAATGCATCGTTTTCCAGCATCAGCTGCTGCAACAAACAGCAGCATTAGACCCTCCCCTCGCCGGGGGTGCCCAGATAGAGATTGTGAAACCAGCATGTTGTCTATTAGGTATTGAAAGGAAGGAGGGAGGGGATAGAATAAGGTGGGTGGATGGATGGATGGTGGGTGAGTGTGTGGGCGAGTGTGTGGGAGACCACGTGAATGAATGGGTTGGACGACTCGATTGATAGGTGAATGGAGGGATGGAGAGGTGGGTGGATGGGTAGGTGAATGGATGGATGAAGTAGTTCAGTGAATGGATGTGTGAGTGGTGGATGGATGAATAGATAAGTGGATGGATGTGTGAGTGGTGGATGGATGGGTGGATGGATGGGTGTGGATGGATGGATAGATGGATGGATGGATGGATGGATGGATGGATGGATGGATGGATGGATGGATGGATGGACAGGTGGTTGTTTGGGTAGGTGGATGAATGGTTGGTTGGATGGATGGGTGGGTAATTGGATGAGTGGATGGATGGATGGACGGACGGACGGACAGATAAATGTTGAAAACTCTCTCTGGTCTTCCTGAAGGCTCTGCCCCCTGGGATTTGTTCTGGGGCCCCTGGAGGAAGTTCTCCTTCAGAACAACCCTCGGAAGGTGTGTGCTCTGAAGGGCAGGTGCTGACAGCTCCCCTAAGCCAACTTAGTGTTCTCACCTCCTTCCAGAAAAAATCATGTGTCCTGCGTTCTCTTTTCCAGCATGTCCTGAGGTGAAATGAGCGCGGAGAAGGACACGCATGGAGACTCCAGGTGCCAAGACTCATCTGTCGACTGCCCTCTGGCCCAAACTCATCCCTCCTCACCCCGACTTTGATCCCGGGATGCCAGGCTCTCCCACCCGCCTCTCAAACCCAGTGTCCTTTTGAGCTGCTTGAAAACAATTCCCCCCGTCCGCTCAGTATTAGCGCGTTCCAGAATAGGACCCCCGTGCACCCTCATGAACTCACGGCCCAGAAAACACAAAAAGGGCTGAATCTGCATCCATGGTGGCCTCTGTCCCTGCTCCCACCTTTGTGGCCTCAGACACCTCTGACTGTCCCAGCTGACCCCTGGCCAGTGCTGGCCCCCAGGTCCTGGTTGAAGACCCTTCTCTTCTTCATCATCCAGCCCCAGGTCGGAGCCACAGATGCCTCCTGGCACCCTGGCCGCCTCTGGTTTGTTCCTGTGCCTTTCCTACCAGAGGGGCTCCAACAGCAACTTGGCTCTGCTCGGAAAGCCCACCTCCAACTTGGACCTCATGTTCAAAAGTCACGTTCACCTCTAAGAACACTCACCCATTTGGAGCCCACATCACAGGCGGAGTTGCTGCCGACCATCACACAACCACACCCCTTGACCCAGAACCCTCTCCACCTCCTGAGCGTGGACTCCACGCCAAAGGACAATCATGACCAAGACCTCCTATCCAGGGGACAAGCTCTCCCAAGCCCTCCAGCCCCACCGCACGGGCATCTTGCCAGGAGCTGACGATGAGAAGCCGGCTCCTTCCAGAAGGGAGGATCTGGGAAGAAGAGATAACAGGGTATTGGGGGTCACTGGGGAAAATACATCCTGGTGATCTGGGGGCCAGAGGTGCCTGCAAGATGGATGGGCTAGGAAGAGGGCTTCTCCACTAGCCCCGTTCGAGGCTCGGAGCAGCAGGTCCACTTTCTAGAGAGGCAGATCTTTCTAGCGTGGTCCACACACTGTATGAGCAGCTCCGGGAGGAACTGAGTCCCCTGGCTCTGGGGAAATCTCAGAAAAGGCTGGATGGTGTTTGTGGACCAGTGTGCATCATCTCCCACCTCCCATTTTACCTATAAACCTGGTCATTCTCCAGGTGGCTCTTCAGACTCTGCTGCTCAGCAAGTGTTTGGGGGTTTGTCTGAGTGGGCCCACGATTTTCTAAGCTGAGGACCTTGGCCCCAGCCTCCGTGGAAATGCTGGATGCTTGTCAACTGGACAGAAGCAAGCTCGCTTCCCAGTGACGGGAAGTGCTGGTGGCATTCAGTGAGCCTCACGTGGATAACTTGACCTACCCCAAATGCCCACCTGTCTCCTGCCCTGAGAGACACAGGGTCTCCAAGCAGGCTTGGGCCTGAGAACTCCACCGCAGGGCCCCCTGAGCTGAGCCAGGGGCATTTCCTGGGTCCCCCGCTTCCTCAGCCTGTGAGGCCGGACCCTTAGGAGGTCTGGTGGACGTTTTGTAATTTTTGCTTCCAATCTGTTTCCCGCGTGTTCATGAAGTGACAAGAAGCATGAATGGTGGGTGGGGGGGCGTGTCCCCCATGTGTCACCTTCCCAGGGTTCCCTCCTAGAGGCCCCTCCACCAGAGAAGGTCCCTATACTCCCCTGCCCCCACCCCTGGCCCACAGCATCTCCTCTTCAAAAGATGGACATCAGCCCATAGGGTTTGCACCAGGCTGCTAACCTAAAGGTTGGAGGTTCGACTCTACCCATCGGCCCCACGGAAGGAAGTCCCGGCCATCTGCTCCTGTCAAGACAGCCCTGTGGGACACCCATGGGTGCAAGGAGCAGAAACGCAATGCCTTTGAGTTCGGTTCATCAGCTGCCTGTTCCAATGTTCCAAGGCCAAGGCTCTTGGGAGGTGGGGGTGGGTCGAGTGTCTGCAGAAACTAGCACAAGAATAATGCCGTCAGACCATCCCAAAGATGAGCCTCTGGCAGACACCAGCCCCACTCCCCTGGACCCCAGCCCCAACCTTCTTCAGCCGGTCCTT